GGTAGCCTTTATTGCAGTGAAAAGGAGGCATGTAAAAAGACAAAATTTGGATTTATTCTATCCAACTACGTATTTTATAGGTCGCAATGGGTTAATAAACCGCCAACAAACGATTGTAATACTGTATTAGTTACTAAAAAATAATAATTCTTAGATTTATCATAATGAAATAATTTTCTCGCCATGCTTTATTTTTCTCTTAACACGCGACTTTGTTTTACGTGGGGAAGGGGGGAGGGGAGGGGGGTAAAGGCAACAAAATTGCGATTTTTACGAATATCATGTAATATATAGAAAAATAATTTTTTTCGGGGGTTCAATATAAATTACATATAGACTTATTTTATTTTTTAAAACTGAAGATCATCCATGCATATTTAAATCCGCAATAAAAAGAGTGTGTATAAACACTTCAACATATTCAAAGAGAAAGACTAAAATCGTTTACTTTTAGTTGCAGTGTTTGCTTTTTTAAACTAACAAATTGAAATAAAAAAGGATAAAATTAGTGAATATGTACCAAACAATTAATCCCTCAAAATTGATTAGGTTCCAAAGTTGTTTATTAATTTAAATATTTAAAAAAAATAATAATAAAAATGCCAGCTTTCAATGCGTAGTCTATAGAGCTACTAGTACCAGGTAAACAAGATCAGCGAAACATTTTAGCGCAATTTGACGTCATTTTAACTGTGGCGTTATTGTGTTCAATTGTGACGGCAGTCAAGGGTATTGTGACGTGCCTGAGTCGACGCTGCATTAAAACGTATGCGCAGATCAAGTAGATTGGGCCTCGTTAAGCTCTAATTTTAAACCTCACGAAAGAACATCTAATTCTTGCAGGAAAGGACGACAAGCTAGCATACGTCCGATCAGCTCATCCCATAACAGTTCCCAAACTCTATAAAAAGTCAAATTATTACCTTCATCCCTGCAAACAAATCCTCGACTCGATCTACAAGAAACATCATTCCAAGTGCCGGTAGTAGCCATTTCCACACACTCTTCGTTTTGGCTGAAAAGACTGTCACTGGGTTCATTGGTATTCCAGTTAGTATAATCGACGCTACTTTTGTCTGACCAATAGAAGTTTACTAAAAATATGAAACATTACTGTATAAACTGTCATGTGATTAATTTTGAATTCACCGATCAGTGGTCCTTAGTCAACGCGTTTCCATTTGTCCCCTGGCAAATTACATTTGATAGGTTAGTTAGGGCTTGCTTCTCTCGCTGAGAAGCACAAATTAAAGTTTTCATACATAGTAAGATAATGTAAGCAAACAGGATTCAGTTGAAACCTCAAAAATAATGCACTTGCTTAGTACAAGTTGGCTTAATGTAATTAGTTGAGAGATAAGAAAAACAATCAATATTTTTAATTTTTTGATAGGCGTCGCAACAGACAGGCCATGAATATTAATTGAAATTTGCCATGGGACAAGCCAACTGCAACGTGTAGACTCAGGCACCCTGGTATTTTAAGAATATATGGCGGTATACACAAAATTTACAACAACATCTTAACTAAAAAAAGCCCAAGTAGCTTTCAACCAAAGACGTATTGATACATTTGGGGGGGGGGGGGGTTTACTCAGTAAGTTTTTTAATCAATTTAGATTATAAAATGTTTAAATGGGAAGTATGGTTAAATAAGCTTTATGTATATACTTTAACTTCAAGTATTAAGCAGATTATTTTTGAACAGTAATTTACACACAACTTTTTAAAAATGATAATTCATTGCGGCCAAGATTAACCTTTCCCGATTAGATCTAATGGCAATCTTCTTCTTGAAAGTCCAATCCAAAAAGCGCTTGTCGCACCCTGACGGATTGCAAACTCTCTTATGTGTTCCATCTCGACGGTTGAATGGATTGAAGCAAGAGTCATGCCAAGATTTTGGCACATATGCTGGGCGTCCGTCCATGATCCTTTCTGCTTTAATTCTATGTAATAACATGCTCCATTCAAAGGCATGCCTGTTTTTGGACATTCAATAGGCGATGACAATGGCAGTTTTCCTAAAACAAAATTCATGACCTCGTTTAAATGATAACTGTGACGTCGACAAATGTAATTGTAGACTTGATCCCATTAGATTTTAAAATCTTGCAGAAGAAAACAATTTTCGGTGACTTTTTATTAGACAAGATAAGATAGGCCATATACGTTGCCCAAACAGATTTTAATACATATGATTTGTCAACAACTGTTACACAACATACTTTTATCAGAAAAAATAAATGTCGACATTTTTTTTCTGAAGGTTACTTACTACTTTTGTTTTTTCAGGTTAAAACTATGTTTCTATGTCCGACATTCTTTACGCTATATTCTGATATATATCACATTCATTTATTCGTCAGATTTAACAACTTGAATTTTTTTAAAAAGTCAATATCTTGTAAAACGGTTATATATACATACCTAACACTAAAACTTTAAGATTCGGTTTTTTTAAAATTACATCTTGAGTCTTTACTTGTTTCTAAATTAACATTTATCAGAGCATAATATTTTTCTCTGATAAAAAAAATTCCAAGAAAAAAATTAATGAAAACAAAGAAAACTTCTTAAATTCCCGACGTAAGATATAAGACAAATTCTGAAATATTATCTTGAAATGTTTTTCGTATGTTTATGACAATATTGCGTATGAAACTAATTAAAAATTAGAGCCACCTGTTTTTATTTTATAAATCTGCGAAGTTGAACTCTGAAAAAGAAACTGTAAAACAAGGTTAAAGACAGCACTTTGATCATTTGTTTTCTCACATACTTATAAATAAACAATGGACATTTAATAGAAAAAAACTAATATCTACAATATGTAGTAATTAAATATTTATCAAAAATGAACTTGTTATAGGCAATTAAAGACATTAATGTAAAATATTTTCGCAAGAATATTTCACTTCAAAGAATTTGTTTTTATGCTGGCAGAATGTTTAAATATTACAGATAAATGAAATTAAGCTACCTAAATTCTTTTCACACAAATAGGGAAGGTTAATTTTACAGGAGCTGTCCTGCCATTTGTTGTCATGTGATAAGACGCATTCCTCGCCTGGTCTCTGAGAGGGTTCCGACTGATTCCAGTGAGTGTAAAGGTAGGGTAGACCATTACTCCATTGATACAGGTTTGAATTCTAAATATAGAAAAATAATGAGTGATGTCAGTAATTTAAGTGTTTCAAAATTGGAATGCATTTGCTCTGTGAAATATGAAAGAGAAAGAGCGATATGTCGAGGTTCGATAAACAAAAATGTACATTTGATTTTCTTAATCCAATCCAAAATGTAGCCATATTAAATTGTAGTGCAATGGCTTGAATGTAGCCAAATTCATAAACAGTGGAAATGGTCGCTAGTGTTCCATTGTCAAGTCTGCAGTGATGATCAGCTGATTTCCAGTCCAGTCTGATGTCATTGAAGAATCGGTAACAACTTTGTCTGTTCTGTGCGTAGTTTGGGGGGCACTGTGTCGTAATTTGCGTCGCAATAGAGGGATCTATAGGATGAACATGAAATATTTGTTTTTATTCTATACACATCTAATCATCTTATCAAATTTCGAAAGTGTTATTTTTTGTTACCATTGGTACTAGTATTTTTGTACCGGGAAAAAGTGAATACCATGATATATTTTTCTTTAAAAAACGATGAAAAGGAAACAAATCAATGAAGAATCTTAATTAACTAAAATTATTTTTTTAAAAAGAAAGAAAAGTCATCTGATATAAAATTAGTTATTATCACACTAACAATATAACCCAGTACCTGTACCTTTTAGTGTTTCACAGATATAACCTTTATAACGATAACAGTATGCCGTTTTCCACTTTCCAATGTCTAGCGCATATTGACTCTGCATTTCAACACATTCTCCCTAAAAAATAAGAATTTCAATACACTTTGCTTATTGCATCACATGCAAATGTATTTTTATAATTTTTAAATTGATATCACAACATTGTATTTCAGAAAAATGCGGTGCGAGTTCTTTCCATGAATATTGCTTCCTAATAACATGGAAAACATCAGGAGAACTAATTCAGGGAAGCTGGAAAATAATTTCATAAGGTGATTTCTAATGGGTCTACGTTATGCTAAACATTGAATGTTTTGTCCATTCGATTACCTACATTATAAACGACCCTTTTTACTCTATATAAATCATTCGTGATGATGAATTGATTTAAAAACAAAGTCGACTTACTCATGTTACTGATATCAAAAACAGTCGGTTCTTTAAAAAGAAGTCTCCAATGAAACTGTAGCTCTACTGGTTTGTATTTTATAACAAAAGAAGAGAAAAATAACACTTGCACTTGAAATTATGCAGCAGCAAAAATCAGTGTTTGTCTTTGGTTCAGTCTCTAAAAACTGTTGGCGGAGTAGCCTTTTGATAGAAATTTTACCAGACTTTTGATTTTAGTAACCATGGCAATACCACATTTCAATACAAGAGGCCCACGGGCCTTATAGGTCACCTGAGTATTGTGTAACAACTTTCAAACAATTAACTTTGGTTCGTGTTTTAAACCAGAGGCCATGAAATTCACAATTCACAATTTTGAAAGAGGCACCATTGCTTATCATAATTATAAGCTTAGCATGTAGGAGTGCATAACTCTACTTACTTAATACCCAGAGGTAGATCAGAGTAACAAATAGAAAATGCACTTCCATTTATAACCAGTTTTGCACCTAACCCCCAAAGGAACCACTGACCCTGGGGGGCCATATATTTCAAAATTTTGCAAATTTTATCATAAAATGGTTGATTAATACCGAAGAGCAGATTTCAAAACATTATTTATTTTCAGACAATGTAACCTCCCCCCCCCCCCGACCCAGGGGGGCATAAAAAATAAATATTTTGCTAGATGCACCTTTCTTCATCATAAATATATATACTTGGATCATTGGTATAAAACCCAGGAGCAGAGAAGATTTTGAAGAAATTATGTATTTTCACTATATAATCAATAGAGCCCCGCCCTAACACCAGAACCCCTGACCCTTTGGCCATAAAATTCACAATTTTGGAAGAGGCACTCTTGCTCATCATAACTATGTGCTTAGTTAGTGTCACATTTAATGTCCAAACGTTGTTTCATAGTATTTTACCCTTGTAATTAGTATTTTAAATCCCAAACGTTTGTCCATAGTCCTATATTTAGAAGGTTTAAACTCACTGGACGGGTTAGGTTTTTAAATAGCTCGTGCTGGTCAGTTTGGGCGTAGCAGGCACCAGAGAAGGACACGTTGTTCCTTTGCCAGTTTATACCACGTCTTTCATTGTTATTTATCTTCATATGTACCAGAAATCCTACTCACTTCTGAGGTAAGAGTATTTCAGTTTAATGTTTATTTTAAGTAACAGTATATCTGCAAATTCTGCCAAGTTACTTCGCTGCAGTACATTTTTTGGTAAAGTTGTTTGAAGTAAACATATTGTTGAATTGTGTATATAATGTACTTATATTCAGTAGTAATGATGCGTCATAAGCATTGTAGTAAGTAAGTAGTAATACTGTACTCGAAGTGTGTTCAAAGTAGTAACAATGCGTCAGTAGCATTGAACATGTAATATATGTTTGTACAGTAGTAAGAATAAAACTTGCAATATAAATTCTTCGTAAAATAGGCATGTCTAAAGTGTAAATATATGTTGAGTACAAAGTATGAGTAAAAATATGTATAGGAAAATATGCATATTAAGTATTGTATATGAAGTATGAAGTATATGTACATAATTTAACAAACAATTACAATATGTTTTTATTTTAAACATTCAATAGATCTAGTAGTCCTAGTATTTGTAATGGTTAGAAGGAGGGATCCAAGTATATATACAGTCAGGAAGGACCAGACGAGGCATTGTCGCCATTACGGGCCACACCGCCATCCTACGGAAGTGCCGCCATTACGGGCCACAGCGCCATCCTTAGCAGCACACAGTGAAATAACATAGACTTTTTACTTTTAACTTTTATTATATCAAACAAAATAAAGAAAAAATATTGATGTAAAAATGTAATAAATGCTGTAAATATATTTTAAAATATCTTTTCCTTATTTCTGACAAAAGATCTGATGATTTATTCAATATCCAGAAGCAGAGAAGAAGATTTTCAAAGAATAAATGCATTTTCATTATCTAATCAATAGAGCCCCACCCTAACACCTACGAACCCCTGACCCTGGGGCCATAAAATTCACAATTTTGGAAGAGGCACTCTTGTTCATCATAACTATGTACTAATTTAGTTTATTTAATACCCAGAAGCAGAGGAGAAGATTTTCAAAGAAATAATGCATTTTCACTATATAATCTACTTAGTATATAGGACCTTCCTAGCACTAGAACCCCTGAGACTGGGGCCATAAAATTCATAATTTTGGAAAAAGCACTCTTGCTTATCATAACTATGTACATGTACTTAGTTAGTTTGTTTAATACCCAGGAGCAGAGAAGAAAATTTTAAAGAAATAATGCATTTTCACTACATAATCTATATAACCAACCCTAGCACTAGAACCCCTGACCCTGGGGCAATAAAATTCACAATTTTAAAAGAGGCACTCTTGTTCAGCATAACTATGTGCTTAGTTAGTTTATTTAATACCCAGAAGCAGAGAAAAGAATTTTCAAAGAATAAATGCATTTTCACTATGTTATCAATAGAGCCTTGCCCTAACACCAGAACCCCTGACCCTGGGGCCATAAAATTCAAAATTTTGGAAGAGACACTCTTGCTCATCATAACTATGTTTTTAGTCAGTTTATTCAATATCCAGAAGCAGAGAAGAAGATTTTCAAAGAATAAATGCATTTTCACTATATAATCTATATAGCCCGTCCTAGCACCTAAGAACCCCTGAGACTGGTGCAATAAAATTCACAATTTTGGAAGAGAAACTCTTGCTCATCATAACTATGTACTTAGTTACTTTATTTAATACCCAGGAGCGGAGAAGAAGATTTTTAAAGAAATAATGCATTTTCACTACATAATCTATATAACCCGCGCTAGCACTAGAACCCCTGACCCCGGGGTTATAAATTTCACAACTTTGGTAGAGGACTCAATGCTTATTACATTCATGCCAACAGTTTGCCTGCTTGATGTCTAGGAGTAAAGAAGAAGATTTTTAAAGATTGCAATAATTTTAATGGTTTTGGCCCCATCCCTCAGGCCCGAGGGGATCGGAGACCATAAAATTCACAATTTATGTTCTCCTTCACCCATTGATGTTGTATACCAGATTTGGTAGAAATTGGTTCAGCTTTTTCAGAGTAGAAGCTGAAAATGTTCAAATGTTAACACACGACGGACGACGCACGACGGATGACGACAGACGAAAACAGATCACAATAGGTCACCTGAGTTACTCATGTGGCCTAATAAAGCGTCACAAAGTATCAAGAATAGAAATACGCCAAATATTACAAAAATTTTACCGAATAAGCCCTCGGTTCCGTGGGATTCCAGTTTGTGTAGGTTATTTCTTGATTATTTTCCCAAAGATATTTGTAGTCGAACTTCCTCAACCCAATCCATAGTGTCTGTTTTGTCTCCCTCAGCAAACTAATGACAAAATCTGAAATAGAGAGATCGATTCTAATCAAGGATAAATTGTAAAAGTTTTATTGATTAGGTTTAATATAGAGACAAAAAATATGAGAAAAGGATTCCATATATATCTACTGAACCAAACTCTACAAATTACTACCAGCTTTTTTAATTTCCATTCTTTTGAATAGTCCTGTTTCTTTCGAATTCTGACTATACACTCTCTGTTCGTTTACCTACATGTTGTAGGTTAAAATGTATCATATTTATATATGAACATTTTTATTGCCTTGCTTAAGAGAGGAAAACAAAAATTTACTAGTAATAAATTCATATATATATATATATATATATATATATATATATATATATATATATATATATATATATATATATATATATATATATATATATAGTTTTTTATCATGATGTTAAAATGAAAATTTATCAAATGTTAATAAATTTGAAGTAAAAGAAACCCTGTTCTATCTGGTTTTTGATGGATAATAAGGATGCTCCGTTTGTTCTATTGCAATCAGATTGGGCACTTGACCATGATTTTTGGACATCCACCACTTTATAACATTTACTGCCTGCACATAAATAATTTATTATAAGTCAACATTCAATTTCATTCAAAAATTGCTTCTTCTTTTCGCAAAATGTAAAATGAACAATCAATTTAAAACAGTATAAATAAGGTATCTTCAAAACGATATCTTGAATATTATCGTACCGAATGGGGATGGGACAAATTCTGTAGGGCATCCACCTTTTATAACAGTAGTAGAGGGTTGAGTCGATTTGCCTTTATTTCGTTTCTTACAGACATATCCTCCTAAGTTATTTCCACAATTGTTATCATTCCAAGCTCCTGAAATATCACATATATATAACAGCTACTGACACTTGATAAAGATCATGGAAATTCTATTCATATTTTTAAAATATGAGTGAAAGTCACCAACACAAGTAAGCCTGCTTTTGACACATTCGAATTTGAAAAGAGTTCTTAAAACAAATGAATTGTAATTTTTTTGGTTTTATTGATAAATATAGGATCTCCCATGGTTAGTAGTTGGATATGATTTTTATCTAATGAGTTGTGTGTTTTTTTCCCCCAAGCCTTGCAGCGAAATTTTAGGTCTGCTGGCTGCTCCGCCCTGACGATAAAATCCATTTTGTCGTTTCAGTCAGATTTCTTGACTGCGCCTAATTTTTTTTTCATTGATCTCCATATTTCTGATCAAAATTCTAACAAACTTGCACAAGATGGAATAAAATTTGAATTGAAAGAACATACACATAAATAGAATTATTTTCACTTTTATATGGGTCCACCGGGAGTTTCAACGTTGGTGTTACATATTTTCAATATCTGTTTTCGAGACTGAACTGGGTACCCCGTAGCACTGACCCATTTATTTACCACTGAAGAAAAGAAACTGAATATTTGTAAATTATTTCTCGCTATTATGTTTTATAAATGTTTGTCAAACGTATATGCAAATTTTTCCAAAAGACGTTAATTAGAAAGAAAAATATACACAGTGTCTCAATAATTTTCGAACAGCCTTCGTATACATTTATAAAGGATCCATCCTCTCTCAATAGATCTTTAAAAAATATCATTTTCAAACAATTTCTTATATAAAAAAAAATTACATATCAGGATATTTTAATCGAAAAACAGTGGATACATAGAGGCACCTGCTTCTAGTTCTGGTAGTTTGGGGGTTTTTTTTGTAAAATATATCCAGGAATCTAAAACTTTTGTCCAAAACCTATTTTTATGACTTATTTTCTAAAGGATGCATTCTTCTAAACTATTTTCCTTATAACTAAATCTAAATCTAAATGTGAGTTTTTACTTATTTGTAGTTTAACAGTTTTCATCTATGCAAGCTTCAGGGACATATTAAACTCTTTAATACTAATCATATCAAAACCGATATCTTCAAAATCTAAATATAATTTTTCAAAACATACCTATACTTGTGTGAGAGCAATCTTCCATTCCAAGACGATTGTTAGGTTCATCTTTTCTCCAGCGTACGAAATCGAGTGGTGTTCCATCGGTCCATGCAAATCTTAAACAATTTTCATTCATTATTAGCATATTTTAAGATTATGTACTAGATCTTGTAAATCTGAGGATATCTCTGTCATTCCGTACAATGTATGAAGCTTTGAAAATATGAACAAGAGCACCGATAATCGGATTATCCCCTCGCGGCAGAAACTTAACCGGTAATGATATTGTCTCCATACAAAAGAGAACGTCTAAAGAGGGACGTTAAAAATGGTACAATCATATTCTAAAGTTTAAAATGAGGTTACGAAAATAAAATATATTGCTAAACTAATTCATTTTTTACCAAAATTATCGGGGGGGGGGGGGGGGTCCAGCGGGTTGGGGGGGGCATAACATGCATGCATGTACATGTACGTAAGTGGTCACTCTACCTTATTCCTAGCAGAGAAATATCATGTACTCAGTATGCTGTTAGTTTCAGTAATTTACCTAGGTATATCTCTCAGTTGCACGCAATATGCATACAATCTGAGAAGCTATATTTCTTCATAATGAAAAATTACATGTGGCAGAGTCATATTTATTTAAATAATTTTTTATCTTTATTGAATAACTTACTGAGCCATAATTTACTTTATGCCATATTTGGTAGTAGTCTCCATTCATGAATTCTACTCACAAAATCACACTGGCCAGTAAATTTGTTCCCCCTTGTTAAACCGGTTTTTCTGCTATATATACTGAGGCATGGGCCCATCCCTGTCAGTGCGGGAAATTTAACTTACCTATTACCAGCTGCCCGTTGTCACCACTTGAAAGGTAATTTTCTTACAAATTTTTGTATTTTATTTATTAAGTCCAAGTTATAATCTCAAGTATTTTTCATATTTTTGAGAGAAAGGTATTTTAAATTATGAAATTGACGTTTTGGGCTTCGTAAACTTAAATTTTCTTATTTTTGAAGTGAATAGGAAATAAAAGTATTTTGTCTCAGTGTCTATGTGTATTATGATATTGTATATATGTTTTTGCATTTGTAGATCTGCCATTGCTTTTTCATTTCCAAATAAATTTATTAAACTGAACCTGCTGCGTTTTCCATTTCCGCTTGGTTACAATATACCGATATTGAGGGGACATTGAAACGTGAAATTTTTCATAGCTTTCAGGAATTACACGCGCTTCAAGAATAAATCTAATATTGTAATTTAAAAAGACACCTTTGGAAATTTGGTCATGAAACCGTGACGTTCTTCGAATGATTTCTATGGCACGCCAACTTCACACAATATTAGGGCATTTAAAAGCTGGCGAAATTGTGCAAATAGGCTAAATTTTCATGAAATTTTGAGATTGTTCTTGTGCCATCATTTGAGCTCATTGTGTAAGTTGTACATCTTTATTCCTAAATGCTTGAAAATTTCACGAAATGCTGACTTTAAAGGAAGTGTTGATAGCCCTGAAACATTAACTTATTGGTGAAAAGCTGAACAGATATTCCTACATGAATTTTATCGCTTGTGTAGACATACCCAGCGTTCGATGATCGGACTAAGCCTATCCACAAGTCTTTGGACGAAATCTGAAAAAAAATGGACACAAGAGAAATTTTAAAAGCTTTGCCTTTTACATGATTTATAGAAAAATAGGAGTCCAGTGTGGTTTTTATAATAAATATTTTAAATGCATTTATATTTTGATGTAAAATATCATCATGAAATACCAATTACAAATGTATTTTTACATAAAATTTCATGATGATTTAAATGTCAATATAAAAAAAAACGCTTGATGATGATTTGGATAAGGTTATGCGATTATTAAGGAAGAAAGTCTTTTTTTAATAATATGCATACAAGAAAATGTCACTAGTTTTAAGAAAAAGGCATATTTAGCTAATTTAAGAACTTACAGCAGTTATAAATCTAAATTCTGCTTTACTGTGAATGCTTGCTAACTCGGCACCCTTTTCGTGACAGCTACGCTGTGCTTCATAAAAATTTGATTTAACTTCTGTTACGTTGAAACAAGAGTTATTCAATCGAACGAATTCCTCATCATCGCATTTCTCTGTGAAGCAAATGCTATTTTAATCCTCGCAGAACAATGGCAAAATTATACTGAACTTTATAAACATGTAAATTAATAATAAATATTCAATGAAAATTCCCCTGATCTGATTAGTTATTCATTATTCAAACGTTATTATATCTACGACGATCCGACATACAAGTTAATCTTCATTGTAGAACAGATTTACCCAAAGGTGGTGGCTGATAATCATCCGTTACCAAAACACCTGCAAAAAAATAATATAATTTATAAAAGAGCTTGATGAGTGTACCCTCTAGGCTTGCATTCTTTCTCTGAAAACAAGAAGATAGAAAGATATATTTCAAACCAAAGGACTTATAATAAACTACTACATATATCTGTTAAATTTTAGCAGAACAATTAAAAAAAAAGCAATATAAATCCAGATTATTTTTTCCAGAAATTTCAAAAGCCTGTATATACATCGTTTTATGTACTATCATCCTTCTCACATGAAATAATTTGAATACTATCAATTTCAGATCAGTGTGAAGTCACGATCTTTTTCGACAGATACATCCAGCGTAAACAGTTCACGTGATTGGTCAACTCATATTATCAGCATTGACACCAAAATACCGAATATCAGGATTTTTCCGCGTGTATCCAATTTCCGCTTTGTTCGCGACAAGATCTGAATCGCTGAAAATAAAACAGCGTAAATTCAATACAAAGTTTTCTTCTTGTAGTAGAATTATTTCTTAATTCTTATATCGTATAGGGTAGAAATAGCGAGATCAGAGGACAAGCGCAAGATATCGGAAATAGGTATAAGCCTAAGCTTATTGTTTGTTTAGTAATTGACAAGCTAGCTAATTATATGGTCATGATCCTTGCGAGAAGCTATTAAACTAATTATACCTGAGCTGCTAATCAGTTTGGAACAATAAATGACCTATGATTGTTTTAATCTTAAAAAATAATATCTGTGGATTTAACGTAGAACCTACGTCGTATGACATCATAACTGGTGAATGTGTTTAAAGATCCATTATGGCGTCATAATTAATTCATGTCACTTTTTCCCGTACTTGACAGCTTCAATAGAAATGGTAGAAAATACTACATTTTGAAATTCACAGAATTCAATCATGCCAAAATAATCTTAATTTAATTCATATACTTATTGGTTTACAATGCTTAATGGCAATATATTACTGGAATAAGAGGAAATATGTAGGCACCTTTCATTTACTAGATCTAGACCTGAAGTTGACAAATCCAAAACTATCTAGTTTAATGAAAATACAATGTACACAACTTTCGTAATAATTTGAGTGGTATGTAACCATTTTGATGGAATGCAAAAATCGTAAGAAATCTTTAGTTGCCAGCTATATAGTGTAATATCTTAAGAGCCAGTCCGCGAGAAAACCATGCAGAACTGTCCAAATCGAAGGTTGTCATATCTTAAAGAAATTTGGTGGGTAGTTAGACTTTATAATATGTTATTAAAAAATGACCAAAAAAATCCCATCATTCAACATGGCAGCCGTAGGCAGCGCCACTTCCTTTTTGCACATTTAAGTGCAAATGCACTTAAAAAATTCAAATCCCATTTGATTTATTTTACTCAAAATTAAACTTGCATTTCAGTTAAGGTATTTTTAAATAAAATAAGACTATGTTCTTTCAAAATTGACATTTATCAAAATCAAATATGCAATATATGAAAGGACAGACAACTCTTGAAAATTGGCATGATGCCAATTTTCAAGAATTGCCAAAAGTATTACAAATTTAATGCCCCAAATCTTTCAAGACCAATCTTTTAAATTATATTTCTTGATTTTATTGTACAAATATAACTCTAAACATTATCTGTGCGAAATATTGAGCTTGGGAAATAATAAATAATTGAGATATAGGGATTTACAAATTGCCAATTTTCGAAAAAATTGCTCAAACTCAAATGGGTTACAACTTAAGTCAAATATAGAACTTTAATTTATAAACAATTAATTGTTGTTAGATATTGAAACATGTAACAATTTTCTTTGAAATAATAATTAAGATTGAAAAATATTAAAATTAAAAATTTAATGAAAGTAAATTGTCAGAAATTATCCTTAATATGAGGATTAGCTTTTTGCCAATTGTTTAGAAATGAAAAAAGCACAATATTATAAATTGTATTAGCTTACTTGCAATTTTTCAACAATCATACGAATATTATTGTAATTCCTTACATTTTGTAAGTTAGTTTCTTTTTAATTAAAAGGGAAATTACAAGTATTTAAATTCAAACGGACTCTGTTTCATTATCATTCATATAAAGAACGAGGGTGCTTTTGATTGGCATTTGGCAGGAATCTGGGCGTAATTGAAAAGTGAAAATTTTATCGACATGCCACATGAAATTTTTACATTATTTTTATTTATTGGTTCCTGTGCAACAGGAAAGGAAAAGATTTTCCCGAAATCGAGCTTCGATTTCTTAAAAATTACTTGAAAATAGGCCAGATCAGACATTTGGTACGAAATAATACATTTTTAAACACGTTTTTCTAAAAGTTTTCAATCTCGGGGTTTTCTCATCATGATTTTCAAACGTTATTTGTGTGTATTTTAATTCAAAGAAACGAATACACATTTTTAAAAAATGGAGAGAAGACCCAGAGAGCACGAAAAATGAACTTTTCCAAAAAAAATCCAAATTTGTGAATGTGGTGCTTCTTTGTCCTTTTAAAATCCTCTGTTTATGTGTAGCGGTGATAATTCAGTAGTTTGGGCTACCTGTTCAGTGCACACGAAACAAAAAATTTTTAGTTCGAGCCTTGCGTGGGGCGTTATATTTTTTTTTCCTGCAAACAACCATTTATTCTGTTAGTTTCGTTTTATGTACTGGTGTATTAAAATTTTGAATTAGATAAATTTTGGTTCAGTTTGGTTCTCGAGCGAAATCAATTCAAACTCTTCTATTCTATAATGTACATATACACGTATCATGCATTTGGGCATTAAATATTTAGGTGTTTATTTTTTACTATGTTATAGTACCCCATATGAAAAATGAACATTAATGTTACAATCTCACAAAGTCTTTCAAACTAAATGAAAAAAAATTCCTATGGATGTGTTGTAAAATCTGACCAGCTATATTCAGCCAACCAAATCATGGACATTTAAACCATAAATGTTTCTTACAAATGATTCCTGCAGGTCACACGCCAAATGCGCCCATCTTCTTTTGAGACTTGAAAATATAAAATTTGTGCCTTCAGTAAGTTGTTTGCTTTCTGCCAATTTTAAATAGGTACAATCTTATAAAAATACTGACAGGAGATGTTATACAAAAAACTCCATAAAGGAGTTTAAGGAAATGAAAGATGCTGGAGTTTACTCTTATCCCACCTCCTGAATCAAACAATTGTCTTCTTTTTTCGCTTGGCAAAATTTTTTCAGGAAAGTTTAATTTTAACCCCCCCCCCAACCCTATCAAAAACGTTTCTACTTCACTGCTATGACTGCGATTTTCGTGAATAAGAGCTTTTATGAACACGAATCAATCAACTTTAATTAAATAATTGGGGATTGAATTTATAAAATATATTATATTGTTTATAAATTTGTGTATTTAAAGTGATTTAATCTAAAATAAAAAATATAATACGTTTTCAGTTCCTCATTTTAGCAACACCCCTCCAGAACCCTTACCATTTTCATTATTTTATCCATTTCAATATTAGTTTGTAAATTGTGGGGAGGTGAACTGGGTTAAACGATTGGGTACTAGATACACTGGTATATTTAATATCCTGACCTTGATCGACTGACACGCCCCCTCTCCCCCAACTGTTTTCAGTGGATACATATAACATTAAAAAAAACAATTTATCTCTCTCTGCAATGGTATTAATAATAACATTATGGTTATTCAGAAAAAAAAGTATCAAATATCAATTTACAAAGCCTTCTACAATTTTATTAATAATGTTTTGAAAATAATTTTGACAAAATTTGATCCCCCCCCCCTCCCCAATTTGAATGAATATGAATCCAGTCTTTTATCATGTTTATAGCCGGTTTTAAATTTTTACCACTTTGTACTGCAAACTGGCAAAAATTGGGCTGCAGTAACAACTCATATTTTCTTGGGGGAGTAGTACCCTCCCTCGAATAATTTTGCCAATATTTACCGTGGAGGGTCCTATATCGGTCGGGTACCTAAATCGGTGACATCTCCTTTTGAGTTGATGATTATTTAATGGGAGATCTGACGTTACGTAACACAGTAGTTTAAAGTATGTAATGTAAAATTAAAAATATTCATAGGAATGACGGTGTTTGATTAACTCAAAAACACACTAAATTTATGAAACGTAAACAATTTACATGTAGATTGAAATTACCAATTATTTTTGAATTTGTTGAGAGTATGCAATCAAATACCTGTTTGTAATCTTATATTTTCTCAACTAATGACACTAAGAAAACTACGTACATTTATATTGAAAATATATGATTTTAGTTAGTCCTCCTTGATTTTTCCCCTCGCTTATTTCATTAATACATGTTTCATACGTGTTTTTCTTTTTTCTTTTCCTCTTCATATTCGGATTATGTATATCATATATACTTGTACCTCTGACCTGAATTTATATGTTGTAAATATTCTTCATTGTCTTCATGTACCTGAAATGGTTTGAGTGAATAAAATGATCTTGAACTGGGGTGCCTTAAAGAAAATATCAAATGTATATTTTGATTAAAAATATTCTGTTATTATTTGATTTACCGGCATTTTCCTATTGAATTGTACTTCTTTAGGAAAAAAATTTTGTAACTGTTAAAACCATGAAATACATGAAGATTCCTCGAGGTCAGATCCCTATAGAAAACATAGCTACTACATAAATGTATAAAATTATGTAAGTGCAAAAAGGTCAAGAATATGAGTATTGGTAAATAGCCTATATCTCATTAGTTATAGGGGAAAGGTATATATTTTAATCACTTTTTGTATTTCATTTGGGTATGTTCTTCATCATATTAAAGATTGAAAACATTGTGACAAAGACTTCTAAAACATATTTGCAAATGTAGTGTGCAAAATTGACTAAAATTAATAGAGTTCATTTGACTATTTTTTTAATGGTGGACTTATCTTTTATGTCAATTAAATAAAAAAGAAATTATTCTTGAAAAAATATTGTTTAATATTGTTCAGTTAATAAAGTTTATAAACGACGATGTTTGAAGAGG